GCACTGGGACATGTGGCATGACCACGTGCGTTGGATAAAACTGCATCAGTATCAGGTGCCCTTGTTAAGGCCTCTCATCTGCCCGTTTCTGGGAGTGTAAGCATCTGAGAACTGCACAGGCCTTGGAAAAGCTCCACAACTAACAGGTTTAATACTGGAGATGTAGTTTCCCCTCACTGTGTACTAGAAGGGCCCTTTCAAGAAGGATTCAGATGGCTTTTGCTGCTTGTCTGGCACTGGAGCCAAACACGTAAGCACAAGCGGGTCCAAAGGAGGGCTACAAAAATGATCCGAGGGCTGGAGCACCTCTCCTGTGAGGACAGGCTGAGAGAGTTGGGCTTGTTCAGCCTGGAGAAGAGAAGGCTGCGGGGAGACCTCATTGCAGCCTTTCAGTACTTAAAGGAAGCCTATAGGAAAGATGGGGACAATCTGTTTAGTAGGGACAGCAGTGACAGGACGAGGGGTAATGGTTTTAAACTAAAACAGGGTAGGTTTAGGCTGCAGATAAGGAAGAAATTCTTTACAATGAGGGTGGTGAAACACTGGAACAAGTTGCCCAGAGAGGTGGTGGAGGCCCCATCCCTGGAAACATTCAAGCCCAGGTTGGACAGGGCTCTGAGCACCCTGATCTAGTTAGCAGTGTCCCTGCTCGCTGCGGGGGGGTTGGACTAGATGACCTCTGGAGGTCCCTTCCAACCCAAAACTTTCTATGATTCTAAGGAACCTCACCAATGGCTGTTGGTCTTCGGTACTTGGTTTGGGCATGGAGAATGGGGAGCCAGGGCACGTGTGTTGTGACCTCAGTACCCCACCGAGAAGATGCTGATGGCAATTCATAAATCACACTAGCGTGACGCTGCCTGCGTGGTGGTGAACCCGTCGCACGGTTTAGAAGTAGTAGCTTCTGCGTAGCGGCGAGATGGGATGGGAACATCGGGGAGTACCAGAAGGCAGGTGTCGCCTAACCTAAGCGCTGAAGTATAGCTGGGAGTAACGTGTCACCGAGAGATTGTGTGTGCCGTGTCGGCTTAATAGGGCAGAAGAATGTATGCTTTGGAGCTAGGAACTACACGAAAAAATGATTGTATCTCGGTCTCTATAATTCAAAAGAAATTGCTGGGGAGGGTAATGGAGAAATGGGGCTCGTGGGTGTAGCTGTCCCTTTTGGAACAACGACAGATTTATCTTTATCCGAAAGATGTTTTTGTAAGGAAAGTTTTCATATCAATGAGGAAAATACTTTTAAGGAAAATAACCAGTGCTAGTCACAGCAAAAACCATCCCACTGTGCCTTAAGCAGCTTGCCCTTCAGCCAGTTCCAGGCTCACAGTTCAAGCGCCACGTCGCGACAAGACCGCTCGTGGAGCTTCCGTATTCCAAAGTCAGAAAACAAGGATAAAAACAGAGGGGCTCCTCTGTCTCCCCGGGCAGTGCCTGTTGTCTGAGTGGCTGAAAATACGGCAGGGTAAACGTAAGTCAGCGCCATGTGCCCGAGACTCGGTGGCTGCGGTGTTGTGCGGCACTCTGGGGAGCGCGCGGGCCATCGCCGGGCTGCTGCTGCTGTGTTTGATGGTACTCTGTGAACGCTGGATGTGCTTGCGGTATCATCCTGGGCGTGAGTTATAGTGACAGGAGAGAGGGATTGGAGAGGGCCTGGCTGCGAGGCTGGGAGAGACTGGCCTAACGGTTTCATTCCCAGTATGGTCTGGTTAAGCTGGTCTCTGAATTAGGAGGCCAGCGGTTGCCTGTACGATCTGTAGCTACGTGGAAATGAAGGGGGTTTGGGGTGGAGGAAGGGAGGAGGTGCAGGAAAAGCAGAAAAAGAGATGTATGAGAATAGAAACTGTGGGCTGTGGTAACTGCAAATGGAGTCAGGACATTTTTTTATTTGTAAGCACCTCAGTGCTCAGTCAAGCAGAGAGCTGAGTTCAGCAAACAGCAAATAATGATTAAGAAGAAACGAGTTAAAAACAAAAAAGGAAGGGGCGAGAGGGGAAAACAGAAAGAACATGATAGTAAATGGAATAATAGAATGGCATAAAAAAGTGAAACGAAGAGCTAAAGGAAAAGAAAGAAAGGGAAACGAGTTAAAAACAAAAAAGGAAGGGGCGAGAGGGGAAAACAGAAAGAACATGATAGTAAATGGAATAATAGAATGGCATAAAAAAGTGAAACGAAGAGCTGAAGGGACAGAAAGAAAGGGATCTGGCAGCAGGTGCTCAGCTGGCAGCCTCCCCGTGAGCCCGCGGAAGGCGAGGGAGAAGATTCAGCGCAGCCACTAGCAGGCAGCAAGAATTGGTGTTTCCTTTCCGCCGGGCGCTGCGCAGGGCTCGATGAGTCGACCGGAGACCGTAGGCACGGGGACGTGTGCGGATC